GCTGTAGCTCAAGTGGTAGAGCGCTCGCCTTGAGCTGAAGAGCTGAGGGACAGCGCCCAGGCCCAGAGTTCAAGCCCCACGACCGACAAAAAAAAAAAAAAAAAAACTCACATAAGGATTAAATCCAGTTGTTTGGGAGACTGCTAAGAGCAGGAGAGAGCCTAGCCCTAGGATGAGATTGGAATTTCCGGGACTCTTGTTCCTGTGGTGAGGACATGCTCTTTATGGTCCTGGGGGAGACAATCTATGTCACTGGCATTACTACTTCAGGACCTCCCTGAAGAAGCTTGTGCACAGAGGCTGTGCAGAGAGCCCCTGGAACTGCGCAGTGGAGCACTTGCAGAATGTGTGCATAAACCTGGTTTATACCGACCGGAACTGGGACTCGTCCTGGCCACACAGAGCCCAGAGAGGCTAGCCCCTAGCTTGGCACCTCATCCAGGTTTTCTTTCCCCTGGGTGGCCTCCCTGGTCTAGATCTAGTGTGTCTCTTCCTATGTGTTCTCAGAGCCCAAAGTGGTGTTTGCCAAGGAGCAGCATGCAAAAAGCGAGGTGAAGGCCGAGGCAGGGGCCAGCGCCACACTGAGCTGCGAGGTGGCCCAGGCACAGACGGAGGTGACCTGGTACAAGGACGGGAAGAAGCTGAGCTCCAGCTCGAAGGTGCGCGTGGAGGCGTCAGGCTGCACGCGGAGGCTGGTGGTACAGCAGGCGGGCAAGGCGGATGCCGGGGAGTACAGCTGCGAGGCCGGGGGCCAGAAGGTCTCCTTCCATCTGGGTGTCACAGGTCAGTGTTAGGATAGTTCAGGGTTGGGATATGGGTCTTGTCATGGGAATGCAAGGCTGGGCCAGGCCTGAGTTTGGGTCAGTGCTGGGTTCCTTTCTGTAGGTCCTAGACTGCTGGACTCTCTCTCCTGCTACCCAAGGTACATGATGAGAATGTAGCACCCCTTTCCTTATTTCAGGCAACTTCTGCCCAACTTTGCCTGTCATGAGTTCTGGTGTTGTGTCTTCCTATGGTGGAGCTTTTTAAAGTTCCAGGACTGTGGAAAGAGCCACAGTCTTGCTGGTGTTTGGCCCTTTCTGTTGTTCTTAGACAGAATGGTCTGTTCTAGGCAAGCTCTGAACTCAAAGCCTTTAGTCTGAGGGGCCCTGCCCTTGGATGTTCTTCCCTGTGTAGGTGTGGGATCCTTAAGTTGGCCTTAGGGTTCTGACAGTCAGCTCTGGGTTGGCACTGTGGGACGACTCCTGCTTACAAGTCCGTTCAGGCCTGCCTCTGAGCCAAGCCGGCCTGCCTCTCACTTCTCTCTCCCACTCTCCCTCCCAGCCCTCCCCTCCACAGCTGTCCCTGTACCCTCTCAGCACTCCTGTGGGTGCAGCCCCACTCCCAGGAAAGTTATTGGGAGAGCCCTGGCAGCCTTACAGTTGAACGCCATCCAGTAAAATCAGATGGCATCCTCCAGTGTCTTGCTGGAGACATCGATTCTGAGCTGGCTGATGCTGTGCTTTTCTAGCTATCCCTATCCTTACCTGGACCCTTAACCACTGATCTGCCATTTCCCCCTCATCTCTCACTGCTCAGTCAGTGTGGTCTAAGGGTCCTGCTGGATGAGGCAGGCACCACCCTTCTTGGCCCTCTCCCGCTCAACCTTTGCTTCCCATGTTTAACTCAGCTTTTGCTTAGTGGGGTTTGCACACTCATGCTGTCTTTCCTGGCTGTCCCCATGGACTGCCAGCCTCAGCCCCTCCTGGCAAGATTTTGCTGTGATACTATATCTGGCACCACATTTGTCTGTGGAGTCAACCTTCTCTGGAAGACAAGGCTCTGGGCTCCAGCAATTGGTTGAGAAGAGCTGGTGATCCTCAAGCCTGATGTCCTTTGTAGCCATCTTTCACGGCTCCTAGGTACCTAAATGGTGGCCAATAGGTGGCACCTGTCCCCCTGGCTCCACAGAGAGGCAGCAGTGAGGGCTGTGGTTGGAAAATGATATACTCAGGTCCCCACCCTCATGCCAGTTTTCCTCCTCTCCCCCAGAGCCAGAGCTTGAGCCTCTGGTCCCAGAGAGACCCAGCCGCAGGGAGCCTCTGGTGGTCAGGGAACATGAAGACATCGTCCTGACTGCTACGATTACTGCATCCTCCGTGGCCACAGTGACCTGGCTCAAGGATGGAGTTGAGATCCGTCGCAGCAAGCGGCATGAGACCACTAGCTCAGGGGTCTCGCACACCCTGACTGTGCGTGGGGCCCAGGTGCTAGACAGTGCCGTGTACAGCTGCCGTGTGGGCACTGAGGTTCAGGACTTCCCTGTGCAGGTGGAAGGTAAGCAGGTGGAAGGGTCTCCTCGGGGGCCCCGTCTGCCATGAAGACTAGCAGGTGTGGGGATTACAGGGGATCCATGCAGGGCGCAGACTGATATCCCCATTGTGCCTGCAGAGGTGGTCACCAAGTTCTCCAGGCCCCTGGAACCTGTCACCGGGGAGTTGGGGGGCACGGTGAGGCTGGTCTGTGAGCTGATCCCGGAGCAGGCGGAGGTGGTGTGGCACTGTGGGAGCACACAGCTGCGGGCAGGCAAGCGCTTCCAGATGGCCGCGGAGGGGCCCCTGCGCTCACTGACAGTGTCAGGCCTGCGTGAAGAGGATGCGGGAGAGTACGTGTGTGAGAGCCGCAATGACCGCACCAGCACACAGCTCACTGTTAATGGTATGTGTGGGACAGTGGGGGAAGCAGGCAGCTCCTTAGGGGAGGTGACCCTACTCCTGACTACAAGAGGGGTCTTGGCAGAGCCCTTCCCGTGGTCTCTCAAGCAGAGCTTTCCTCTGCAGTTCCCAGAGTAGTCAAGTTCACATCAGGGCTGAGTGCTGTGGTTGCAGAAGAAGGCCGTGAGGCCACCTTCCAGTGCGTGGTGTCCCCCAGTGATGTGGCAGTCATCTGGTTTCGGGATGGTGCCCAGCTGCAGCCAAGCGAGAAGTTTCTGATATCCCAGAGTGGTGCCAGCCACAGCCTGACCATCTCAGCCCTGGCGCTGGAGGATGCTGGCCAGATCACAGTGGAGGCTGAGGGTGTCTCCTCTTCTGCAGCCCTGCGAGTCAGAGGTGAGGCCGGGGGTGAGCAGGGCTTTCAAGGTGGACTAATGGCTGATGGCACAGCATTGCCTACCTGTGTCCTGCTGGTCTGGCTGACCTTTAGGTGACATGAAAACTGTCAGCTACAGAAAGATGACCTAGGACCTGAGGGAATGGATTCCTAGTCTGTAGGATAGAAGATGCAATTCTGCAATTGTGCCTAGTAGGGAATGGTCTTAGGTTGAAGCACTTTAGGAGACTTCTGGAAGAGGTGGGCATCTGACTCATCTGATGGCTAAGTAGAAGAGAATGAGCATGTCAGCTTGCGTGCCCAGGAGCATGAAGTGTGTCTGAGCTTATCAAGGCCCAGATTTCATTTGAAAGAAAGTGGTAGCCAAAACGGTTTCATGTGAGGGAGTGATCTGGACTTGTGCACCTCCTGAGGAGATCATGGGGCAGTAGTCTAAAGCCTGTTTGTTTCTTTTGGTTCAGATACTAGGGCTTGGGTGCTGCTGTCCCTTTGTTTTTTTGTTTTGCTTAAGGCTAGAGCTCTACCATTTGAGCCACAGTTCCACTTCTGGCTTTTTGGTGGTTGATTGGAGTCTCCTGGACTTGCCTGCCCAGTTGGCTTTGAACCTCAATCTTCAGATCTCAGTCTCTTCAGTAGCTAGAATTACAGGTGTGAGCCAATAGTGACACTGCTTTTTAATTTTTTTCCCCCTTAACATGAGCAGGCAAGCATTCTTGGACCTTGTTATGCACAAATGATGGTGCGGCTGTTCTGGGGGCTGCAAACTCAGCCCACTCAGTCCCTAGAAATACGATGCTGCTGGCTCCAGTAGACATTTCAGGCACTGGGGCATGGCACAATTTTTTTAGAAGAGGGGAGCAGACTGAGGAGGGGCAGTGGAAGGAGCAACTGATCTTACTTCATAAAATGTGCAAATGTGTAGCTGAGGCCTTGGAATGGAATTTTGGGACCCTGGTTCCCAAGCATGGAGGTTGGGACTGAGTCCCCCACTCTAGGGAGATCCTTGCCTTCCTGTCCCCCAGAAGCTCCAGTGCTCTTTAAAAAGAAGCTGGAACCACAGACGGTGGAGGAGCAGAGTTCTGTAACACTGGAGGTGGAGCTGACAAGGCCATGGCCTGAGGTGAAGTGGACACGGAATGCTGTGGCCCTGGTACCCAGTGAGAACGTGGAGATCTCTGCTGAGGGCACGCGGCACCGCCTGGTGCTGCGCAGTGTGGGCTTCGTGGACAGAGGCTTCTTCGGCTGTGAGACGCCAGATGACAAGACACAGGCCAAGCTCAATGTGGAGAGTGAGCCTGGGGTCCTGGGGCTGTGGGAGAGAGATCGGTCCTGGGGTGGGGGGAGAGAGATCGGTCCTGGGGCTGGGGGAGAGAGATCGGTCCTGGGGCTGGGGGAGAGAGATCGGTCCTGGGGCTGGGGGAGAGAGATCGGT